GTGAGCTGCCTGTAAATTCTTAATAAAATACCATCCAGCTGCTGGTCTTTAAGAGTTCAGAACCCATGTGCAGACCAGTAAGACCACTCTGTGTCCCACAGGGAGCTCTTCATCTGGGAGTGAAGGTTTTACAACAGAACTGGTGTTAAAACCTTTACTACGACACTACAATCATTAGAACTAAAAGAACTAATGTTGCTGCTGAATTAGCTTTGTGCTAATGTTTTAGCTTCAGCAGCTCATTTGCAGGTGTCCACAACAAACACACATTCACACTATGGGCTAGTGCAACAAATTTTTAGATTAGTGCTGCCCACCACTGGAAGATACATTCCTGCTTACATCTGACTTTTATTGGTTAAATCTGAATAAATATGTAAAAATAAATGAAACAGTAACTGTCCCTCTTTGTTTCATCTTGATAACACGTAATTCATTTTTTTATCTCCGAGTTTGAAGTGTAGCTGAGAGTAATTCACCACACAAACTCTGAGCTTCAGTGTTTACCAAAATACCTGCAGCATCTCTGTTAACATTTAAATTATATATGAAAATATTCATTCCTTCACCAGGGTTCCTACATCTTAAGGCAAGATCAATTTAAGACTTTTTAAGACCTCTTTAATGCCACTTGAAATGAAATATAAGACCAACATCACAATAAACACAAACAAAATAAATACAGCTACATTTTTACCCGTTACTGTATTTTAAAAACAAACCAACTAGCGGTGAAAGGCATTCAGTAAATTATTTTTAAAAATACATGTTACTAATATTTTAAAATATAAGATGAATTACAATCATCCTATTTAGCTACAACTTTTTAAAGACCTCTAAAAGATTTATTTAAGACATTTAAAGCTAATTAAGGCCTTATTTTTGGATTGATGTATTCAATGCCCTTTAAGACTTTTGAAGGATCTGTGGGAAACCTGTTCACTGAGTGTTGGGCCTTTATTTCAGAAAGCAGAGTTTCTGAAGACAGGTTAAACAGAGCATCAGTAACAGTTGTAAAATGTTCTCTCCTGTCACCAAACTCCTAAAGAATCTGTACATTCTAATGAAACATCTGCAGCCTGACCAGCAGATGGAGCCATCCTGCTTTGTGTTTGGTAGAATCTATGTTTTAAACAGTTGTTTTTCTGAGGGTTCAGTTTAACATCTGTAACATCTGAATTTAATTTGTTACTGATAAGTTTTGAGTTGGACTTCTTATTCATCTTCAATGACAGAAAACACCAACTGTGTAAAACTGTGACAGTAACATTTATACTGTTTCAGATAATAACACATTAGTCTGGTCCAGGTGTTCTAGGTGAGCTGCTGAACCCACTCTGCTCTAACGCTGAGGTAAACATCACACTGGAACAGGAGGCAACCCAGGTGGACACATCTGTCCACAGAGAGAAACCGATGGATATAAACTGACATGTAGAACAGAGGAACCTGGTTAACATGGTTCCACTTGATTTTTATCTAACAGACAAGGTCATCAGTGTGCATTGCCAATGCAATGCACACTATTGTGATTAGTTACCCATCCAAGTCATCCTCTATTTCGGCACGCTTCTCCTCCTACAAACTTTCTCCTAGAGCTCCCATTGTAATTTGTATCTGTAAAGCTCATGTGCCAAATGCAGGCTATGCTTTTGGGTGCCTGTACAACTTATAGTTTTTGAAATATTAATATTTAAACTTTATTAATGGGTGTCAATACAGCCTTGTATTGGACCAATACTGCCCCTGATTTATGTGCTCAGCTTGGTACTGCACCATACTTTAATCATATTTAAACTTCAGTGATTACAATATTAATTTCTTTGTATTTTAATGTTTTATTATAACATTTTCTTGTAAGCATTAACATCATATATAATATTGCTTTATTGTTGTAATATATTGCAGTTTTGTGTCAACGATCGTCGTTGGCAATGTTGCCTCTTTCTACACACAGAAAAAAAAAAAAACAATGGGACTGTGCTTCCATAGCTCCAATGGTCTCATGGTTAATGCCATGGGCTTTCATGTGGGAGATCAGGGTTCAAAATCCAGTGACAGCAATTTTAACCAAAATTCTCTTCAAACTTCATATTGTCACACAATTACCCTCATTATAAACACCTGCTGACTGGACAAGCACAAGCTGGTATAGAAAACACATTTGAACTTGCTCAGCTCATTCTGCAAGTCCACTGCTGCAGGTAAAGGACATGCTACATGGCAATGCACGCTTGTTTTTACATCGTAAAAACCCATGCCCAGTTATTATTATTATTAATATTATTATTAGTGACTCAGCATCAGAGCAGACTGAAGACTTTAATCTGTAAAACTCAAAGATGATGTCATAATATAACAGATTCAGACCACCTCCAGAGCTGATTTGAATGTTGTTAAAAAAAGATGTCAGTACAGATCACTAGAAACATGATCTTTGTGAGTTTACACGTCTGAGTCATCATGTAGGACAGGATGAGTCGTGACAATTTCAAGGATAGAAAACATTTGTTCAAGTATTTTTGTAAAATTCAAAAGGAAAAAAAATATGTTAATGGTAAAAACTAAGCCAACTAACCCACCGCTCAGTTGGTAGGGCTGATGCTTCTCAGCAAGAAGGTTGCCGGTTCAAATCCCGGCTGGAGAACCTTTCCGGGTAGAGTTTGCATGTTCTCTCTGTTATGGGTGTAAGAAAATATCGATACACTGAAATATCGTGATATTTCTTTTCCCGATACTGTATCATATTCTAAAGCCCTGTATCGATTTTTAATTAAGGTTTAAAA